AGAGAGAGAGAGAGAGAGAGAGAGCACAAGGCAGAATTGTATGCCTGCATGTTTAAAGCTTGGGCCATCATCCGACCTCCCCAGTACGCCGTGATGAGTCTTCGACGTCAAGGGAAGGTGGTGAACAATAGATCTGATGAGAAGCAAACGACTGTCAATCAAGCAATTTAGGTCGAAACTTTTCCGCCCCTTGCTTTTACTGACACTGCACTTCCCGCTCGGGAGATGTTGGAGATGCTTTGTCTGACTTCCTCTTGCCACAATCCTTTGCCAAGAGCTGTGCGTTTTCAGCAGCACAGAAACCCACCACAGACAGAAGCCAAACAAGCCATGCTGACTAACAGGGCCATGGTGCGCCTGTGACTGGCTGGGGCACGTGAAACTTCCTGTTGGCGGCAATCGAACCAGAGGGTCACAGGCTGTTATGAATCCCCCCTCTCCCACAAAGCACACAAAGTTTGTTTTATGCACACAGGAGGTTTCATGCTCCTTCATTTGGCTATGGATGCTCCTAGCAAAGTAGAGAACATAACTGCCTTTTGGATGGCCGAGGAGAAAACGGTACCCCGGCCTTTGTAGTTCTTAGCTTGAGTGAGCAGAATGGGCAAAGAGGATAGCCGGCCACCCCAGCAAAAAGGGTGATTGTGCTATATTGGATGGAGAGAGGGTGGGTGGGTGGGTTGTGGGGTGGCAGCGGCAGCAGCCCCTCTACTGCATGGCCATGAAAGATAAGAGAGGGAGGGAAAGGCACCTGAACAGCGATTTTAAATGCTTCAGAGAAGCCTTTACTGGTGCCTGCTAGATGTTTAAAGGTTCCAGAATTCCCCACCGTTAGGAATTCTCATGTGCTGACACATTTGTACCAAGTTGGGTAAGGCTGCTCCACAGACTTCCTGAGAAATCAGAAAACGATTAATCAGTGAAAATTAATATACAGCAGCAAAATATCCACCGACTCAGCTTCCCTCCAGAAGGCTGTTACAGGCGAATCCACGACATGTGTGCGGGATAGAGTATAATTCAAGCCCATCTCCATGTAAATTCACTGAAATGGACACTGGAAATCCCTGTAGGCTGCAGAATATTCTGCAGACGTGACAAAAACCTACCTTGGGCAGAACAAAAGGAGCAGTAAACTGCTCCACAGGTAACTCACCTGCCAATAGTGATCTTTTTTTCCCTCTCATTGGAAAAAAAAGGCCGGGTAAATCTCAGAAGCCCAGACATTTCTACAAATGTCATTTCAAAAACACTGGCTTTGGAAAGCTGCAGACCACGAAGGGTTGGAAATTGTAGCAATGGAAACACCATTCAACAGTTCTTGGGAAAAGGGAATGGCGGCCAGAGAATTGAAAATTCTGCTGCCCAATTCCGGGAGAACAGCACGAAGCGGCTTCTGAAAGCTGTCATTGCATAGTGTGGTTGTGAGAAAAATGGGATGGGGGGAGAGCAAAAACGAAAAATCCCTTTGCATAGTGTGAGTGGAGGAGAAGACCCTGAACAAAAACCAACAGTGGAAAGGAGAATATGGCCTAATCCGGATGGAGATGGTCAGTGCCACTAACCACTGCCAGGCACTGCGTAGTCCTTAACGTGATTGTACTGAGCCCAACGTTGCTTGGCTTAACTCCGTCTCTTTACCTCCATGCCCTTCCCTCTCCCTGGGTTGCCTTTTTGTACTTCTTCCTCTCCTTGTCCCATACAGACCCCCCAGAGGGCCCGGGACAGTCGTTCCTTACTGGGTACTAGCCAAGGCCCAGGGACCAAGTCTGACCGCAATTTCCTGCTAGGCCGGGGAGAAAGTAGCTTGTGGTTGTCACTCTCGCTCTCCCCGTTTGTTTCCTGCTTATGAGGCCTCCGTCCCTGTTCTCTGTCCTCTTCATCCTCTCCCTGAGCCTTGCTGGAGGTCTGGTGCAACTGGCCAGACTGGTGGACTCGAGGGAGCTGCTGCCTGACGTCGCAGACTGCTGCTTCTCTGTCATCTCCATCGCCGAGGTTCTGTCCCACATGATGGGAGACCATCGACCGGTTTGGTTTCCTGTGCCGGTGCCTGGCTGTGTCCTCGGCCTCTAGCACCTGCTGCTGTGTCTTAGTGGCGGTCTGGCTGAACACACGATCTAGGAAAAAGAGGAGATCAGTGAGTAGAACAAAAGAGATTTGTTTTGAAGAGTGGGCTGATAGGACCCTAACCCCAAAGAATCAAATACTACTGCAAGCTCTCTACTGTGTCTAAATATTAGTTGACATTAGATTATAGAAACAGTGATATTCTAGTCAAGACCAAATAAAGTGGAACCAGGGTAGGGAGCTATTGGCAAGATAAAGCCAGGGTAATATCTGGACTTTACTAGGTCCTTAGGTACCTGAGGATTACTTTTCTGGCAGAATAAAGTTTATTGGCTGAACAAACAGACTCAAATATTCAGTGGTTGGCAACCATATCTGCTATTTACAAGTCTAGGCTATTTAAGATGTTGCTAAGGAATGCCTTTCCTCTGAACTTTGAGGTGTAACAACTACTTCCTGGACTATTCCAAGAGGCCACTTGCTCTCTGATTTCCAGAATACTTGTCTCTAGAAAACCCATAAGTTAATTCTGTCAGGATAGGGATTTGATCTTTGGAAATGATTTCCCCGATCAAGAGATTCATTCATGGGGGACAGTATGTCAAAGGGCCCAGAAAGGACATGTCAAAGAATCACAGCTGCTTTCTGGCCCTTGGCATTTCAGGAGAGTATTATAATAACATTCTACCAAATGTCTTGTATCTTGTCATATCATGTCTGCTTCAGATGGGTTGCAGAGAAGTTTTTAATGGGCGTGGCACATTTTGGTGTGTGGGAGGAAATGTGATTATATTTCCTAACATACGAATGCATGGAAAATAAATTCCAAATAAACCAGTGAAAAACTGAAAATGAGTAATTTACAAGCAATGACAGCATAATACAATATCTAACTTCTGCATTGCAAAAGCTTAATTGATTCTAATGATCACACTTTAATGCGCGGCCCTGTTGTTGTCCTAGCTCCTTCAAATCCTACCCTCTATTTTTAAAGATGTTATCTATTATTGGCCCTAAACTTTAAATCTGATCTCCACAATTCTAATGACTAAGGTGAAGGTGAAGGTTCCTCTCGCACATATGTACTAGTCGTTCCCGACTCTAGGGGGGCGATGCTCATCTCTGTTTCAAAGCCGAAGAGCCAGCGCTGTCCAAAGACATCTCCGTGGTCATGTGGCTGGCATGACTAAATGCAGAAGGCACACGGAATGCTGTTACCTTCCCACCAAAGGTGGTCCCTATTTTTCTACTTGC